CACACACACACACACTTATTTCAATCTTTATTTTGATACAACGTATTTAGACGCTTCGAACGAAGTGTTGCGATTTTAATGGTGTTCAGTATATATGATATTACATATTAGCATCATAAGTAAAATCAGTAGCTGCATCTGCACCATCTATTACGTACATGAATACTTCTATGGATCTCATGTGAAACAGATAATTCCATTACTTTAATACATACGTTTAAAGTTTACTTTGTACCTTTACCATTTTGTATTTCCATATCACCGCCACACAATACGACAGCGTATAAAGGTCACACAACCTATACCTAATCTTTCATAATCACATATTTATTATGTGGATACGTAGATCATGACAGGGTTTAACAAGTGTGGGAACATTCTGACGTCGTGAGTTAGACGTCGTGAGTCTAATAATCCCTTCTGGTGTTGCTAACTTAATTGTGTCTGTATTGTGGCTTCTTTAAAAAAAATGTTTTGCTATTTGTTCGCTTCAGCACTACCAGCCCCATTATTCTTTCTTTGGGTCAAACAACACACACACACACACACACACACACACACACACACACACACACACACACACACACACACACACACACACTTTTTACAATGATTTTGTTCAAGAGTCTTACAGGAAACTGAATGCATATTTCAAGAAACCAGTATCAAAACAGAAAGCCATCCCTTTGTTCAAGGTATTACTCGATTGTTGCTGAGTGAAATTCACAAACCTCGGTTAAAGGAACACCGGACAACTGAATGCCTCTTTTTTTATTGGCCTGCTTTAGTAAACAGATACAAAATAAGTATGCTTTTAAGACTCAGTAAGACTCCGTTGCTAAGGATTAGAGTTGATCAATTTTCAATTTCTATCCAAATATACTTGCAAGATACCCTACGTATTTCAAAGTAAATGTTTAGGATTTTTGGAATGACTAAAGCCTTCAAGACAGCTGAGAATATGTTCCCCATTCATGTTTTCCAATACAACCGCTGGAAGAACAAAACTCGATATTTTTCCACCACACTCATCAATTTTACCATTCCACTACAGATCCACCAGCTTTGTATTAAGGTCAAGACAGTAGCATCCTTTCTTGGCCAATCGGTCGGTAAACTCTTGAAAATGGGTGACAGGTAAATGATAATAGATAGCATTGGTATAGCGCAAACTGCTGCCCAACAGCAAGCTCTGTGCTCTTTACAATCTATGCTGTTACCTCAACACACTAGATAACATTAATTCGGACACAATCCCAACTTCCTGGATGCATGCAGTGAGGGCTGCTATTTATAGGCGCTAGAACACTAACATACTGGTGTCTATGGCCAGGAAAATATGCCCACCTGAGGGAAGGAAGGAAAATTCGTGTTAAGTGCTTTTCCTAAGGACACAACGTCGGGCCTGCAGCTCGAACCACTGAACCCGCAACCTCACGATTACGATTTCGGTAGCCTAACCACAAGACGAACGACGCCGCAGGTAAAAATTCATTAAAATTCTGTTAAGTTCAGTTCGAACGCCCACAGGCATATTATCGGGATATAGAGTCTATGTTATTTGGTGTGTAATGTCATCATCATGGACATACTCATTTGCTTCGTTTTAATTAATTGTGTTTCTGTGTACAAACATGCAGGTCCATAAAAGCTGGTCATGTTATTAAAGAAAGAAATGAAAAAAAAACCCACATCAAGTTACCTAAGTCAAGAACAATAATAGAAGTCAAGCCATAATCAAATTAACATTTATTCCCACAGCTAAACATAAAAAACAATGAGGATAAATAGTAAAAAAACAAACCCATAGTACTATGATTTATTTGTTCCGTTAGAAAAGTAGTTTGGATGGAGGTGCACTAAGCAGAAAGAAGAAAAAAATTAAAGCAAGAAAGCTATGATAATTCAGATAATCAAAAGTGCACATTTGATCGTAGACATCGATAATATGAAAAAAAAAACCTTTCCATTCTACTTACACACACACACACACACACACACACACACACACACACACACACACACACACACACACACACACACACACACATACACGCACACATACACGCACACACACAAATCTATCATGCATATCTCACCCTCCTTCTTTTTTGTGTTTGTTACTCTCTTGTAACACCTCTAATCTTCTGCACATATATGACCTATTGTGTTGCAAGTGCCGTAAAACTCTTACTAAGAACTAAACTAAACACACACGTCCGCACGCGCGTCCGTAGAAACACACACATACATACACATACGCATACACACACATACACATGCGCACACGCGCGCGAGCACACACGTGCGCACACACACACACACACACACACACACACACACACACACACACTCACATTCAGACTACTACTACTACTACTACTACTACTACTACTACTACTACTACTACTACTACTACTACTACTACTACTAACTACTACTACTACTACAACTACTACTACTGCGCACAAACACACCAACAAAAACAGTTCACGTGCAAGCACGTGCAATCTCCACGTGGTATGTTTCAGCTTCCTCCATCATGTAAACCCCCCCAGGCTCCTTCTAGAATCGGTAGACTGCTCTGGCCATGGTAATTTCTCAACTGTACAGGGCCAAACCTCCGTACGGTACAGCTTCATTAGCAAATAGACGACTATCAGAATATGACGACTGTGCCATGCCGGGTACGTGAGACACAGTTGGTTCCCAAGGAGGTCACCAAGAAATTATATCGATCAATTTGCTCGTCTACTATTTCAACTTAAGATATATAGTGATCATCGTCTGAGATAAAGTGGTACGGTTCCTTGACATGGTAGACCCAGGACATGACTTCGATCCCCCTGCGGGAACGTTGGGCTATTTTTAACAGTATTTTTCCACCTTTAAAAAAAAAAGTCGTTGTAGGGTTGTTTTTTTATGTACCGAGTACCCTTCTCTCTCTCTGCTTGGGTGTAGATTCCCATTCAGCCACGGTTCGCCCTGACAAGCTGGAACGAAGTAGCTGTCTCTTACATGTCTAAATTGTTTCAAATGGGGTGTAAAGCAATTATAATTTCACGTGCAATCACACTAGTTAAATAATAAAAAACACATTATGTTTTAAATTTTTCTCGTTTTACTCAAAAAATGAGTTGGTCTACCTAAATTAATCATGTTTTAGAATAATCTAAGGTTGAGTTTCGATTTAGTTTTGTTCTACTTAGCTGGTATAAGACAATAAGGGGGCTCACGTGGTTAAGAGGTTACAGTGTTTGCCTCTCATTCAATAGGACCCAGGTTTGAATCCTGACAGCGACGGAAAATTTTCTTTTCTAAAATGTTCTCCATTCACCTCCTTTCCTGCTTTCTTACACTTTTCTGTGGTCTGCTATCGTTTCCCCTTTTTGCTCCCACCCCTCACCTCCATACCTCCTTTGCTCCCTCCTCTGGGCTCCTGACTCTTTCTGCAGCCTTTCAACTGCTGCTCCTTGGCTCCTTCGAACTGTTGTCTTTCAGCCACACCCCTGACTTTATGGTTGGTAAGTTCTAACTCCTAGTCTTCTGGGATAAGGGCTAAAATCTCCGTGATCCTGTGTGTACGTTGCGCACATTACAGAAAGCGTGGTGGTCAGAAATCGAGTAGGCTTCTGCCGCCACACAGAAAAAATTCAAAATTTCCTACGAACTGAAAATGTTTAATGTGTCCCGTGCGTTCATATGACTCTAAGTCGTTGCGAGCGCTGTAAAACACTTATATATATTTTTTTGCTTTAAAAGTACAATAATCATGTCAGCGAAAAAAGCGCCCATAGCTTATAGGCTGACTTATTTAAGGTACTGAGTGCCAGATAGATGCAGTTTATAATTCCTACGTCATACCTTTACAGAGGATGAAAAGCGAATCCAAGTCAGTAGGATTTTGGATTTCAGGTGTGTCGCGTCTAGACAAGGTTACGAAATCAGGCGCTTGTTAAAATGAGGGAATCGAAGAAATTGGCATTGTTCCGACCATTCAACAAATGTGGTCGAAATTTTGCTTTTTGACTAAACGTTTTATATGTTCATTTTGAAACACATTTACCCCCCGGGGCGGTGCAGCTGACTGAAGTGTATTTAGGCCATTCTCAAAGGTTGGACATTGATATGTTCTTATGCACAGTATAATAGTAAATTGTAAATCGGCTGATTTATCAATGTCATGCTCATAACTCTGCCTGAACTGCAACAGGAAATTGCTGCTTTTTCTTTCATAATCCTTACTATCGTCATTTTCCCTCTACTTCTGTTGTATGTTTGTCACACTCTTGTGACCCATTACTTCCGGGGTGCCTTGATAGTCGAAGCAGACTCTGTGCTGTTGAAGCTAGAGAGGTGTGCAGAGTAAGCCCGATTCCCTAAAAAGACTTCTTTGTTGACACCCACCCCTTGGCGCTCATATGACCTACCCAGTTGCGAGCGCCGTAAAACCTCTACTAAAAAGGGGGGGGGGAGGAAAAAAAGAAACACATTTACGCGTAAAATTTACTGAAAATGGTTGACTAAAGTCACGGAAAATGTAAATTTTTAGTTTTCAATGAAGCATTGGAAGTCACCAAACTTTTTCGGCCATTTTCTGGCTAATTTTACCTCTGAAACTGAGCGACCTTTTCATCCTTCAATCACCCATTCCTCAACTTCTATTCAAGACAGGACGATATTTTTTCATCAACACCTAGACAAATAGACCGGTTTAATATCATATAAGAAAATCTCTCCATGCCCAAAAACTGTTGAGCCCCCGATTTCACTGAGTCGTTGGCCGGTGAGTTGTGTATGTTGTTTGATAGCGTGAAGTTAATAAGTTATTTCTGGTCTGAGGGAAACTTTCAAGGCTCAACAAAATTTCACCTCCAATGATACTGCTCAGCTCAGGTATCCCAAGCAAACACTATAGCTCAGATCGTTTAGCTGTCCATACTGCATTGGATTCAGGTAGAAACATCAATAATATTATTATGTTTCCTCTACGTAGCTCTAGAGAATGAAAGGAATGAAACAAAAGACTTTTTCCGGGAATCAAAGAAACCTGCACAAGGGACTTAATCTCAACAAAAATCAACTGAAAACCCTTTCCTGTTTATAATTTGCGAACAATAGCCGCCACAAGTTCAACTTCAAGAACAAATATCAACATTCCAGTGTTTCACATTTTTGTTTGCCTGCTCACTGAAGTGAAAGTAAATTATGAAAGCTGACGACAACTATTGAATTCCTTCTTTGTTATAAATGAAAATAGGCCAGGAAAGGTAATAAACAGCGAAAAAAGTCAGGTAATAAAAGACAGAAGTCAACAACAGGAAGTAAGGCACGTCGGAAACGGTCTAGGATGGGTTTTGTTTGTTTGTTTGTTTGCACTCATTACAGCTCCTCTCTTCCTGTGACGCAATGGTCTAGTTTTGAGCATCAGTCATGTACCAATGCTGCACGACTAATTAATGCAGGGCAGTGTCGACCATGTACAGTATTCCCTAGAAAATGAACAGGGTTACTCTCCAGGTCATCTCGTGATATGGGATAACCCGATATGCTGCAACGATGTATAATGCTTATTACGTATTTTACGTTAATTACGTATTTTCCACCTTAAGAAACCCTCCCCATACACCCCTATACACCTCTCCCTCGCACGTATAAAATCATATCTACACGTGAGGCAGGAACAGCCGACGGTTTCGAAGTACAAATCACTTGTATATATCAGGTAATTATTTTGCAAAATACAAATTCTGTGTCGGTATTCACAAACTAAGAGTACTACCAACTGAACAATAACCTGGTCCCTGGTTTCGCTATCTACGTTAGGGAAAAAAAGAACGCCATGTACCGATTCTGCGAAATGGGGACCGCGGTATGGCGACAGGATATTGTAAACCGATACAGCGCAAACATCCCTGGAAGGTGAAACAGAACCGTACCCGGTGTAAGCGAATACTTACTTACTTCCTATTGATCAACCACAGTCTAATTGCATTCTTCAAATGATATACGCTGTTTGTAATAGATGTTTCTATTTGGACGCCAGCTTGGTTATGTTTAGTGAGCAAATGGTACCCATTGAACATATTAATATTCTGTGATTGTCTTGAAATGTGTTTGTGCGTGTATATGTAGCATGTATGTGAACGTACGCATCATGAGTTAAATATAAATATATTGATATACATATTATATGTGTGTGTGTGCCCGGAGAGAGGTCCCAGTTGTCGACAAAGCTACTTTTGGGGAACGGGGGGGGGGGGGGGGGGGGGTGAAAAGACCAAAACAGTCGTACCTGGTCAAGGATTTAGTTCCATCAGAAAACACGCGTCTTTTCATTTTTTATAACATATTGAAAGGATTTTGTAATCTTTTAAGTGTAAATAGTTTCATTAGTTATACTTGCAACATGCAGTACTTCACCAAAGGTTAATAATGTGCTACAAATTGTTGTTGTTGTTTTTTTTGTCCTCCAAACTTTGTTTTTACACCTTGTTACAAAATGTGGTATAATTATCTTTAAGACTACTCAAGATATTCGAAAAATTTAAAAACCAGCGTGTTCAGCGTTGCCTTTATTACAAGAATATGCATTTATTTTAATTTCCAAAATTTCCGACAACTGGGACCTTTCTCCAGGCACACACACATAATATATAATTGTTGGTGTCTTGGTCGTCCTGTGTCATGGGTGGTCAGCGGGTGCTCTGGTGTGGTTATCTCCTTCTTCCTTAAAAAAAAGAAAACCATCTCAGATGCTCAAATTGTAGATTGTTTCTCCAAGTCTTCTTCTGCGCGCGCACATGACCCAGCACTGGTTATATTTCTTTGAAATCCGGAGTCAGTTCAACACGCTCTATGCTGTTATAGAATCTCCTTGTTCCATCATGGTTTTTTTGCTTGAGAGTAATGACCGTCATTTAAAAGCATGCTAGCCGCGGGTCAAATTTCCGCGTTCTCAGTGAAAATAATAAATGCCTTGCTTGGGGCTATGATTTTACAGCGAGTGTAAATGTCTTTATGTTAGTCTCACAAGGAGATGCTGCGCTTGAGAAAAGGAGGGGGGGGGGTTCTCTTGACTTTGCATCGATACGCGTTCTCATGCCAGAACAATCGTTGACAAATTAAATAATGTTCTCATGGTACAGTTGGGTAGTAGTATTATGACCGTGACTCTGTCTCTCTGTCTCTGTCTGTCTCTGTCTCTCTCTCTCTGTCTCAGTCTCTCTCTGTCTTGTCTGTCTCTCTCTCTCTCTCTCTCTC